TACAATATTTAGCGCTGCATCTTGAGATTCATGAGCTTCTTGAGTCTAGGGATGGAATCCATGCACATTAAAATAAAACAGGCTAACTTGAAGCAACTGGTACAGGGCTGGCAAGATGGCTCAGTGTGTAAAGATGCTTGCCACCACGCCTGGCAACCAGCACTTGATAACCCATCACACACACACGGGGATACACACACACAAATAAATACAACTGAAAACCCTGGCAAACTTAGACAGTTAAGCTTCCATTTTGAATGCATTCTTCTTTTCCAAAATTCTAACATGGGCTTTTGGAATGGAGAGATTCTTCTCGATGCTTTAAATAGGTGCCAAGGTGCCAAGGGCCTGTGATTTCCAGCACTCCGCTTACCCGTTAGAAACTTAATATGGTAAGTCAAACAGAAAAAGTATCCATCTTTCTCACAGGGCACCACGTCAATGCAATTCAACAAATATTAACTGCTAATGTATAAATCAAATGCTCAGTGACTTTATAATTCAGTAGGAGATGATATGAACAGTTCTTAAACGGCCCACAAGGACCTAAATACTATTCACCAATTATAGAGCAGAAGAGAACTGCTCTATCCCAACAGAGCTGAGGAAAAGGTCTCAGAAGAGGTCACATTTTAGTTGAGTTTAAGGATCAGAACCAGCTCAAGCAGCAACATGGAGACACCACTGTAGGCGGAGTTTTTGCTGCCACAGTCACTCTCAAATAATGACAGAGGCTAATTATGAATTATAAGTGCTTAGCCAATAGCTCAGGCTAGTTACTAGCTAACTCTTATCTTTAAATTAACCCATTTCTATTAATCTATGTATTGCCATGTGGCTTGTGGCTTTACCTGTCCTCTAGCATGTCTTGCTTTCTGGATGGCTGACTGGTATCATCTGACTCCGCCCTCCTTCTTCCTATCATTCTCAGTTTGGCTTTCCCATCTAACTTCCTGCCAGCTACTGGCCTATGAGCTTTTAATTAACCAATGAGAGTAATAGATATTCAAAGTGTAGAAAATGATTGTTCCACAGCAGGTGGTCTCCGTGTCTGCAACCAGAGCTCTGTTCCATGCCATCACTAGGGAACCTCTTACACGGAGAGGCAGGGAGCAGTTTCTGTGCTGCACAGAGAAGTGTGGATCTGACTGCAAGGGGCAGCATGCTCAGTTGACTTGCTGGCTCCCCAGTGCGCTTGGTTGGTTTTGTCCTCTTGGAGATGGAGATACACAGATGCTGATGCACGAGGTTGGGATTTGACTCCCAGTCCTATGCTTTGCTCTACAGCTGTGAACTCCTGCGACAGGACGGTGACCCCTGACAGCCATCAAACACAAGGACACAGCTGCACATCTGCCACCCTGTGTCTGAGGCTTTCGCCAATTCAGACTATACAGCATTCTTTGGTGGCCTCTTTCAAAACGGTCCCCATCTATTTTATTTATTTGTTTGTTCGTTTGTTTTTCAAGACAGGGTTTCTCTGTGTTGCTTTGGAGCCTGTCCTGGAACTAGCTCTTGTAGACCAGGATGCCCTTGAACTCACAGAAATCCACCTGCCTCTGCCCCCGAGTACTGGGATTAAAGGTGTGCACCACCACCACCTGGCTATTATATTCACTTTTAATGTAGTGTCTCACTGAAAAGTGTTACGACATTATCTTCATTTCAAACTTCAGCAGACAATGGGAAGGAATAACTTAGTCCTATGGCAGGCGTTCCCTCCATTAGTCCCTCGATTGAGGCGTTCCACTAGCCAGCTCAGCACACCCTCCCCCCCACATAGAGATTTGTTATTTGAAGGTGAGACTTGGATCTGGGTATTCCAATCTTAAAAGAATCACAGAAATCAATAACGACATTAAGATCTAAGAAAGAAGCAAAGAAAATAATAGAGAAAATGTAATCCATTATGAAGAGTACTGATGAAATGAATGGTGATTCTGACAGAGAGTGCCACAGACCCCACTGGCTATCACTAATCCATACCTTGGACAGAACACTGCCGGAAGATAGAAATAACAAAGGCTAAAAGAACATTTGCAATTGCTATGTAATAACATGATAATGTAAGGCAAAGGCCTAGACATAGGCATGCCCTGACCTAGCTCACTGCCACAAACTCCTTTCTCAGGATAAATCGTCAAAAAATTAATGAGCATATTGACTCCTAAGAGCACATGTGTTCACGGTAAGGGGTAGACCCTTCTGTAGAACAACAGCGCTAATGGCAGCAGGCGTGGGGCAGCCAGGAGCACGAGACAACTGAACACAAGCTGTCAAAGCCTGACATTTCCAGTTGGAGCAAGTTGGTGAATCTTGACCTTCTGAATCATCCATTCATGGAAACTGACTTCAGGGTACTACCTAACAGCCCACCCGAGGGTCAATTTGGGTTTTCTAATCCATTTTAGACAGTTTCAATAATAACACACTCGGCTATTTTCCAGTGGTTTTCCTTTTTACGTACTCAGTACAAAATTTATTCAATTTAATTGCCCCACAGGACTGGGCTGGGGAAAATTAAATAATCTGCAAGACATTCTAAAGTAATTACAAACTCAGTCCAACAAAATGTGATTGTCACCATAATAATAGTGACAATCAAATTAGGGTTGGTGTGGCTACCCTTTGCAGAGCACAAGTGACCCCCTGCTCCACAATAGTAAGATGATTTTTTTTTCAAGGCAGGGTCCTTCTGTGTAACCCTGGTTGTCCTGGAACTCACTCTGTAGCCCAGAATGGTCTTGATAAGTAGGTGACATCTGGGTACTGCCTGCCAGGGGAAGGGGAACCAGGCTCACCTAGATATGCTTCTTTCAACACGGAGCAGACATTCTGCTCTAACAACTTTATTAATCTAGTCCCTCCCTAAAAAATTCAGCTTACTTTTTCAAATTGCAAAGCTAAAAGTTCTTTATTCTCCTTTTCCAAGCTTTATGTTCACAGGTCAAATCAGGGTCTTGTTAGGGTTTCTATCACCGCACTCAACACCAGAACCAAAAGCTATTTACAGAGGGTTATTTTAGCTCACAACTCTCAGGCCACACCCATCAGTAAGGAAAGTCAGGGCAGGAACTCAATCAGGGGCCTACGGAAGAACACTGCTCAGTGGCTCACTCACAGCCTGTTCAGCCTGCTTTCCTTTACTGCCCAAGACCACCTGCCAGGGGTAGCACTGCCCCCCGTGGGCTGTCACCTGCTGCCTCACCCCCATCAGCTAGCAAATTAAGAAAATGTACCACAGACTTGCCTGCGGACAATCGGATAGAGGCATTTTCTGAGGTTCCTTTCCCCATAGAATTCTAGCCTGTGTCAAGCTGACAAACAACAAAAAACCCACAAAATTCACCAACCATGACAGTCAGCGTGGTATTAAACATAAATTCTTCCCTTGAGCTCTTGGTTGTCTGTCAACAGTGTTTACATATTCCCAAAGACTTCAAGCACACATTGCTGGGGCCGGGGAGACAATTATGTCGATAAGGTCATTGCTGTGTGTCAGCGTGAGGACTCAAGTTCCATCTCCAGCACCCATGTAAAAAGCATAGCATGGTGGCATGTGATTGTGGTCCCAGAATTGGGGACGCAGACACAGGAAGCGCCTGGGGCTCTTTGGCTCATTGAGTCCTGGGTCCCAGCAACAGATTCTGTCTCCAAGAAAATGGTTAACGATGCCTGTGGAGCAATGATACTTGAGGTTGTTCTGTGACCTCCACAGGTACTCCACACACATGCACAGAAAATATTTACTCATGGTCTAACCAATCAACTCTGTCTCTCTTCACCTGTAAAAGGATGCTCTTTGCCTTCATTATAAGTGAGATGTATCATGCATAGCAGGCTGGAAAAATCATGTAGAGCTTGAGAGTCAATGGTTCTAATCCTGGCTCTGAAATTTATTAGCTATGTAATGTTGGACAAGTTACAGAATATCTGAGGACTTCAAATACCAAGCAAGCAGTATCACTTTATAGTGTGTGTGCAGCATGTTGCTTTCTAAAATGATTTCGATACACAAAAGGAGCTCAGTAAATGGAAAACAGTATTGTAATGCAAAACAGTGTTTGGACAACCACAAAAACACATCAGGGAATACAGTGATCATGAGACCAATAGAAAGGCAAAGGAGAAAAAGCTACAGCCAGCATCGCCTAGAGGGTAACACAATTGTGGGGTGTGAAAATGCATGTCTGCAGAGTGTGGGTAGCAAGGCAGGGGAGAGAGAGAGGATGAATATTTGGAGAAAATGAGAATTTCATTTTTATTCTCAGGAATACAAGAGCTACTGAAAGCATTTTAAGAAAAACTAAGGAAGTAACTTCTGGGAAATATGGAAAATGAGATTGAAGCAAAGCCAGAGACAGAACAATCACTTGGTGAGGAGGCTTAAACATGAAGCTGAGCTAGAGCAATGTGGACAAGGCAGGGGCCCATCGAAGAGACTGGGGTGGGGGTGGGGATGCCCAATGAATGAGGTGAGGACAGTGTATGTGTATAAAGGAGTACGGAGGACATTCGTGAATACAGTGGGGCTCATTCTGATTTCAAGGGGGAACTTAATTCCAGCAGTTTGGACAAGAGAGGCATGTAAAGAGATGTCTAAGCAGAGTTCTTCCTCTATGGATCTGAAATCTCCATGGAGATGAGAACTAAAAATCAAAGGGATGGAGCAAAAAACTGGAAGGGGTAAGGGCCTCCGAAACAATAAATTAGTGGAAAGAGCTTTTGTACATATAACACATTTTTGCAGAAAATGCTAAGAGAGAAGAGCTTGGTTAAAAAAAGCCTTCATCAGTGATGGACTTGAAAAGAGACAAGACGATATGAAAATAATAGTAATAGTATTGGAAAACATTTTATGTGTTAAATTTTTGATTTTGACATTTAACCAATTAGACACAAAATCAAATAAAATCAATAGTCAAACAATGCCTTTAGATTCTGCTACAAAGTTTAATCTTTTCTTTCTTGTATGAACAGATATCTAAAAGAGAGAGAAGTTCAAAATGTCAGTGTTTATTTACAAGTTTATTCAAAAGTTTTAGAACAATGATGCTTTGACAGGAAGTCATCAAATGGAAATCAGCTTGTGTCTCAAGAGCACTAAGGGAAAAGGAGCCTTAGGGGTCCTCAGAGGTTGACATCTTGATGCAGAACCTCCAGTGACCCCATCAGTCGAGGAAGTGCCACCTTTCTTCTGTTTACATGGGGAGGTGGAGGTGGAAGGAAAGAGAGGGAGGAAGGAAGAATAAGACATGTTTAATTTAGATCTGGAGGAAGCATTGGGCATCAGCACTAGAATTTTTAAAGTCTCTATAATCTTAGCATTCCATCCCTCCAATTTAGGCTTAGCCATTGTCTTCAGTTCTCCTATGTTCTCAGTCATATAATACTACACCAAAAATTCTAGAGCCTGCGCATGGCATTTTCTGGGTCCCTGGGGGAGCACTTTAGTCACTAATGAACAGTGTAGAAGTTAGCCCTGTAATGATACGAAAGGTTTAGAAAAACTTGTCTGTTGTAACATTTGATGGTTCACTAAATATCCAAAAGGAGAGGTATGGGAACCACACCTGCTCTCCCATAGGACTGAGTCTAGGGACACCCTCCCTCCTAAAAATCGCCATCGCATAGCTGGATGCAGTAAACTGTTTTCATTTTCCCTCCAAATTCATTAAGTTGAATATCCTAATATTTTTTATATTCAAAGGTCAAAAGTCTTGTCATATTTTGAAAGAGACATGGTATATGTATATGCTTACATTCTGAAATTGTTATTGAAGAGCACTTTTACTTGTTTCTCAAAATGGCTTCAAATAATAAGAACCAAGGACATGGAACTTAGTTTTAGCCCTATGATACATTTTGGTTTTAAGGCTTTCAGTTAAAATAAATGACTTATAAGATGCCTAGAGTTAATAAAAGTATATCTTTTAGACTTAGATTTCTGGGGTCATCCAGTTTATCAGACTGGCTGGAATCTCTTCTTACTTTACTCACATACACACACAGAGCTGCAGCGTGAGAACCATTAAGTGGAAGCCACACTGCAGCACACTATGGCAGCAAAGGAGGCCTAACCAAGGCCAATGGAGGTTGCTTAATCACCACATGACCGAACGATCTAGCCTCAAAACAACAAATGTGCTCCTCATTTCCTGAAGTTAGGGCAAATGATATTTTACCAGAGCAATTTCACGACCATCTGAAATCTACTTACTTAATTTACATAACTCTTAAACTAATTTTGTTTATTTATTGGTTTCCACTACTATAAACAGATTTGTCCATTGCTCTCAAGAACTGTAACAAGGCCAGTTGATGGCTCAGGGTGAGGGTACCTGCTGCCAGGCCTGACGACCTCAGTTCTACCCCAGAGTCTATGAAGGAAGGACAAAATTGACGCCTAAAGTGCAAACTCCCACATTCTCTCTTAAAACAACAAATAACTTTTAAAGGAAACATATTGTACCTTCTTTAGTGACTTCTTTACTCATTGAAGGTGCTCGGACCTAAAGGATAAGAAAAGTAAAAAGTTTAATATATTTAATATTTACATATGGAAAGTGATCTCAGATATTTTTCATGTGATTAGAGAATAAAACTGACATATAACTAAACTCTAACTTCAAAAAAGTAAAGATTCCTTCTGCTTTGTTGGGCTGTTCATTCTTCCTAATGTTAGATAAAAGAAGGCATGCTCAGAAATATTTTCCATCAGTGGCCCAGGTGGCCAACTGAGCACCCTTGGCTGAGGGTGTGAAGACATTTCCTTTTGAGCCACACTCAGACAGGAGCACACAGGAACCACGGCTAAGCGGTGTGTGCTGCCGCCCTCACCCACACTCAACATGTTCACCATCTCTGCGATGCCACTACCCAAGCAAAGCTCTTGACCCTTCTAGAATTCCAGCAGTGTTTGATGATCTTTGGTTAAAGCAGCGGCCAGACCAAAGGTCTTCTTCAGGCAGCAAGCCTTAAAAGTGGCTAGAATTCCCTGGTCTGTTGGATGGGGTCTGGAGGCAGAAACAGCACTTTGATGTTGGGATGAATATCACTAATGAACGTAAGGGAGAGGATCACTTACTGTAAGGGCAGTCTTGGCAGCTGTGCCATCCCCTCTCCAGCCCTGCTCCACTTCAGCACACAGCTTTGCAGGGGCACCCTGGGAGGCGATGTACCCTCTACCTGGCTTGCCAGGCCTCCTCGCCTGGGCAAGAGTACGCTACAGCATGTGCCTACTCACGTGATGGTGTTATTCTGCGGCTCGCAAGGGTTTCAGCCTGTGGCCTACGACACTAGTTTGTTGGTAGCAATAAGATACTGAGGATTTGAGAATGTCCTGTAGTGAATATGAAGGGGGTTCGGAGTGCCAGAATCAGACAGAGAAGTATATCCCTGTATGCGCTGCAATGACGACAGCCAAAGCCAAGCTTGTGACGTTGAAAGGAGGGGCCGGACTTGGACTTGAAGACATTAGTGGCAGTCAGGTCCGGTGGTTTAAACAGTTCCAGAGTTGTTCTTTATACAAATGTGGAAGTGGGGAGCCTGGAAGTACTGATGTGGGGCCACTGGAGAATCTGTAGAAATGATGGGCAAGTGAAGGCAGAAGAAAACCACTTGCCACAGAAAATCTTTACTATGGATAAAATTCCCTACTCTTGAGCCAGATGCCTGGGAGGCTGGGCTGCCAGGTCCAGGATGTGTAGGGAATGGTAAGTGCTGAGAAAGCAGCTCCAGTCACTTTGTCCCTGTCCGTCAGAACTGTAGCTACAGTAGAACGGGGCAGGTGTGGCTGGTAAGAAACCACTGATTTTCAACCTGGTAACTTTAACCACTTTGTACTTCACTTCCAGTCAATCACTAGATATGGCTTCTCAGTGGCAACATTAGCAGTAGACCTGATCTCATTAGGGGCCATGATAAAGCGAGAGAGCAAAACAAGTTCAAGAGAAATGATATAAGTAAAAGATTAACCATCAGGGTGTGTGAGGCTGTGGCCAGTGTAACACAGTGCACTGTTTACAGGGAACTCTTAAAATAAATAAGAGCATATTCTACAACGCTAAAAAGCACACATATGATGTAGCACTATATGAAGCAGTAGTGACGTAGTTAATTATCATCACTGTCAAGTACAATGTACTGATATAACTATATGTGTGACACTTTTGAATGCCTGGTAGAGCAATAGCTTTGCTTAAGCCAACCTCACATTTCTGAGCTCTAAGATGCAATTATGAAACCATAAACATGTTCATGGCCTGTCACAGGCAAAGGGTAGCATGAACGTAGACGTATCCCACTGGTTTTGCTCCTCTGAAGAGCCCTAGTCCTCTCCCCCAGATCATAAATGGTTTGGTTATTTTTCCTTGAAGTATGTGGAATAGGAGGAGCAGGCAGAGGATTATTCTTCTACTTACTACAGCTTCTTCCCTCACACAAAACACGCTTCACTGGGCTGCTCTTGGGGGTGGCAGGTGGAATAGTAATGGCAATGGGCTCACATCTGCTCAGATGAAGCACTCAAGACTTGCTGGCAGTATTTACCTACACAGATTACAACCTTCCCCATTAGGGCACTGTTCTATCTTTTTAAGTTTACAATACATTTCACAAAGTTCTTTGGAAAATTCACTGGTCAAATTTCCTGTTTAAAATTAACATCTGCTTTTAACTGGCACTGCCAAATATTTCAGAGAAAGAAAATGAACAGTGCATACACACACACACACGCACGCACACACAAAACAAAATAATTGAGCAATATGTTAACCTAAAAACCAAAAAAAAAAAAAAACAAGCAATCAAGTTCTCTTAAAACATGTATCATGACATTACTTTAAAAAATAATCTCAAGAATGTCATTTATTTTCTTTTTTTCATTGTTAGGACCTATTTCTTGCCTGGTTGAATATATTCAGAACACATTAGCCCCTACTTAGAAGAGAACCACCACTACGGGAAGTCAGGTAATGGCAGAGTTTTGTCATGGGTGAGAAACACCTTTCTCACATTAGTGAAGAGAATGATATTCAAATTGAGAGCGACAGCAGCGGCCGCACACAAAGCAGCAGATACCTCGCCACTGCTGGCAATAACTGCCTGCTACCCTCACACAAAGCAGCAGATACCTCGCCACTACTGGCAATGACTGCCTGCTACCCTCCTCGCCCACCCAACTGCGCACCTGTCTGTCCGGATTGACAAACACGAGAAGCACACTGATGCCCAAGCACAGCTTACTCCCTGACTTCATCAACTGATATCCAGTTCCCAACGTTCCCTCCGTAGGAGTTACTTAGCATTCTTGGAAGTAATCATAACAATTTATATTGCCAAGCTAATCATCGAATATGGGGCTTGAAAACTTTGAGTATTATCAGAATTTTTAAACTATTGGCAATCTGCTAGCTACAAAACTGCACTGTATCTTGTTATTCATTGGTTTTGTGAGACACGGTTTCACTCCCTAGCCCAGGCTGCCTTGGAACTCAGTATGTGGCTTGAGTTAGTCCCACATTCCCAGCAATCCTCAGGGTCCCTGGCTGGACACGGCATCCTCCTGCCTTGGGCCTGGAAGGCTCTCCCTTCAGCTGTGCAGTTCTCGCCCCTTCGCCTTCCTTTGCCTTCCACAGTCCTGTGCTCACACCCCTCCCCTGTGGGGCTGACCAGGACCACTGCTTAAGGACTGCAATCTGCACCCTCCTGCAGCTGTATCCGCTCCTCCCGCTCACTCTTCATCACAGTATTGATTATCTACTCAAAGTCTACTTCACTTCGACATTTATTATTTATCTTCCCAACTAAAATGTAACTTTCAAAAGGACATACATTTTTGTATCTTTTTTAGTATGCACTCCAGCACTGAAAAATTATGGCAGAGCAGGCAATAACTGAATAACTGATAAATTAGCGGTGGGAAAACCCAACAAATTAAAAGCCGCCATAATTTTAGTTGTTCATAAAGGCCTAAATTTACTAGTTTCTACTTAATTTGAATAAGGGCTTCAAATTAAGTTGAAAGCCCTTAATTTATAAGGAGGATTTTAAAGCCTGAGATCTCTGTTAAATACACTTTATATACCTAATTATACAAATTTTAACTTTCGTAATTAAGGATTAATATACAGTTATATTAATACACAATAAATACAGTTGCCTACAGGCAGCATGATCAATAAGGCAGAGAGCTCCTCTTAAAGAAAATCTTGTGAGGTAGGTGATCTACATGGAAATGACAAGGAAGGCTCAGGTACTTCAACCTCTTGAGCCAAAATGTACCTGCTCTATGAAGATAACATGAGGGACGAGCTACTGGGAGAGAAGAACACATAGAACAAATATAGACAGATGGCAGAGGACTGGGAACAGGAGGACAATCTGAACACCAAATTTAAGAAATAAACTAGAAGGTTTTAATAGCCCCTGACTTAAATTGCTCAGCTTAAAAAAAAAAAACCGCTAACTTCAATACCATTATTTCATTTTATGCTTCCCAAAGGTCTTGACATGTTTCCTTGCTAGATATTTGAGAACCACTGTCAGCGTCCTCATGAGATCCGCATGATTAAAGGATGCTTCGGACACTGACTCCTTACCGATTCAATTAATGATCTTGCTTCCTCTGGCGAGCGACGGAAAGGGCTATCACACACATCCACATTTGTGCTGCAGGAGAAAAGAGAATGTTAGTTAACACAGCCCAAAATGAAGCAATTGCCAAAAGAAAACCAACCGCAAACTGTCCACACTGGCTGTATGTCAGCCAACGAACGAAGAACAGAACAAATCGGAACACCTAAAGTTACAGTACATACAGGTATGGAGTAATAGACAACACTGCACTCCCCACAATTAAAACCAGCTAAAATGATATACTATCAAAACCATTTCCTGTTGTATACACAAACCTCACAACTATACTAAACCTTTATTAGGAGTCAAATCCAGCACACAGAATGAGACTACCTGGAGACATGCTCCTCTGTGGAAGAAGCACTGGAACTGGAAGACAACATGATAACTTTTCTTAGAAGTGGGACAGCCCAGAAAGGCTTGTTCTCCAATCAATGAGGGCTTGGAAACTTGTGTCCTTCTTTGTTTGATAGACCCCACAGCATGCTGCCACCGCCCTTTCAGATGACAGTAGAGACCATCATTGCTCTTATAGAGTGAGGCCAATTCCTGATAACGTCACAGAAAAGTGGGTAGCTCAAAATGGGTGTAGGAAGCACCAGTAGAGTACGGAGCTAAGAGCAACTAAATTTTTTCAGTCAAAGGGAAAAGTGACTAGCGATGGCTGTCCCCAAGAGGAGAATGGGGCAAACACAATCACCTATTTTCTCTCAAACAGTCCTGACAGATATACATTATCAAATTTATCTGCACAATTTCTTCGTGAAATATGTTGGGAATCTGTGGTAAGGAGATCTGTCTATCTGTGTGTTTATTTTACACGCTCAACCTGTCGGTAACTTGCAATATTGTTTACAGCAGGTTTTCATTCTGGTTACCATCCTAACTTGTTGTGGGACTTACTTTCATTTTGCCATGAACGACATTTAATTTTTAAAATGTCTATAAGTTTTTGAATGACATTATTTGCTTAGGTATTGACTTATGTGTCTATTTATTTATTCACTTATGTTTGTGTACACTTGCCGCAGCATGTCTGTGAAAAATTAGAGGAGATTTCCAGGAGTCGCTCCTCTCCATTTTACCATATGGGTCCCAGAGACTGAACTCAGGCCATTAGGTCTGATGGCAAGTGCCTTTACCTGCTCAGCCACTGCGCTGGTCCAAATCTGATTTTTGTTTCTGAGGTAGTCTCTTGCTATGTGCCCCATGTTGGGACACAACTTGCAATCCCCCTTCCTCAGCCTTTTCCACTCCGGGATTATAGGTGTGCACATCACACACAGTTCTGTGTGAAAAGACTTAGTGATGAGTGGCAGCTGTATTTTAAGACATAACTTCTTTATATTTTCTTCTTCATAACTCATGTTTGAATAGGTGGGAAATTGAAAGTAGTCTGAGGTCAGCTGTTTCTCTAACAATCGTAAAAATATTAATAAGAGGGCTGAAGAGATGGCTTAGTGGCTAAGAGCACTGGCTGCTCTTCTAGAGGACCAGGATTTGATTCACAGCACCTACCATGAGGCTTAAAACCACTGAACTCCAGTTTGGGGGATCCAATGCCCTCTGCTGGCCTCCATGGGCAATGCACGCATATGGTACAGAGATAAACATGGAGTCAAAGCATACATACACATAAAAAGAATTAAAATTAAAATAAAACAAAAGACAGCAGACAAAAAAAAATTAGATCCTGCAAGGTCTTAAGTGCTAGCTGTCCAAAGAAAGCAAGGTGTGGTCTAAATCCAGTCTACAAAATTGTTTACTATGACAAAGTCAAACGCCTTCCTTGCAACTGCAGGGCAAAAGGAAGTGAGGGCAGGCAGACCGGCTTCCCTAAGTAGGACTGCCAGACAAAATGCAAAATATACAACTACATTTGAACTTCACAGGACTTTAGTTTATTTTCAAAAATAAAAATGAGCATACATTATTTTTAAAACCAGTTCTAAAATTCAAAATGAACTGCATGCATTTTTAATCTGTTGAATCTGATACTCCCATTTGTAAAGTAACCCTCCATCCCTATAACAAAAAATGGGAACATTAGAAAAGAACAACATTTAAGCCAGCATTTGAACATTTTAAAACACTGAATATTTTTATAAATTTCCAGTTAAATATTTTGACAAGTAGCTGCTAGAAGCCTACCGGTTCTGCTGCTTTTTTAGTATGCATTTTAGTCAATAAAGCAGGCATCTGGCACAGGGGTTCTTAACCGTCCTGATGCAGGTACTCTTTAACACAGTGCCTCAGGCTGTGCTGACCCCCAACCAGAAAATTATTTTCATTGCTACTTCATAACTGTAATTTTGCTACTTTTAAGAACTATAATGTAAATGTCTGTGTTTTCCAATGGTCTTAGGTGACCCCTGTGAAAGGGTCATTGACCCCCTCCAGGGGTCATAACCCACAAGTTGAGAACCACTGATCTAGAGTATAAGAACATTGTGTGTGTATGTGTGTGTGTGTGTGAATATTTTTCCTCTACCAGGATTTTATGAAGTATGTGGGAATCCTTGAATGTATAACATGTGTTACTGAACGGTCCCATGCTTGTTTAGCTGGACCTGGTGGTTTAGCAGGGCTGTAATTCCATCTACTGGGGAAACTGAGGAAGGAAGGCAATTTCAAGGTCTGCCTAGGACAACGTGGGCAATGAGAAAAGAAAGGAAAAGGTTATACAGCATTGATGTAGATCTATTTTTAAGTTCAATAGTTTACTGTGTCCAGTGCTTGTCCAGATGCTGGGAATAAACACTGAGCCAGTGAGTCCTCACATAACTTGAAATCCCTCAGTCTTTTTAAGTCTGGCAATGCCCTGTGGAAAAGCTGATAATCACTGAACAGCAAACTAGGGTACAGGTACCTACTGCAAAAAAAAAAAAAAAAAAAAAGTGACTAAAAATAGCACTCAAGAATGTGCTTTCTTTCTCTTTTTAATTTTGAGACACTAAATATTTTGTCCTAAATTTCTAAATGTCCTAGCACCACAAAACTAAACAAAGACAATTTATAAATGTCAGATGGTACATGCACAATCTCACTGACCAAGCCACAAAAACATGGCAGTGGACTTTTAAAAAAATCACCAATATAAAAATGCTGTACATGACAAAAACTATACTTAGAAATTAAAAAGCCATATTAAAAATAGATTAACAGTATAAAACAATTGATTAAATAAAATAGAAATGATCACCTGAAAATAATAGAGACAAAAGAAAATTTATAAAGTCAAGAGTCTGGAATTTTAGTGCAAGGAAAATTAGTTTCTTCAAGTCAGTCCCGAGTCCAGCAAAGGCTCACGGTCATGATCAGAGTCATTGTCCAGGGTACACACTGTCAAGGCTTTTCACTTTAAAGCAACACAACCAAGAATAAAGAGGAGATAACACAAAAGCGTGAGGCTCTAGAGTTTGCAAAGAAAATGGCACTGGGGCAAATGTGTGCAGAACTAAATAGAACTGGTACTATTGACTAGTATATTTTAATAAATCACATCATTTAAAAAACAGACATATATGTTTGTGTGTGTGCATGCAACCACATGTGCCCTTACTCCTGTGCATGGATGCCAGGTGGAGCGGTGCATGCATGCCACAGTGCATGTGCGGAGGTCAGTGGGCAACTCTGTGCAGTTGATTCTCTCCTCTATTTCATGTGGGCCCTGGGGATTGAGATCAGGTCACCAGGCTTCCAAAGGAAGCATTGCTGTCCACCAAACCATTTCTTTCATTGGTACTACAAAACGATTTCCAATGAATTTGATGCACCTTCCTTCAGGAAGTTGAAAATCAACCATAACAACATCAAGCCATAAATAATTTGGAATAACTGAAAATCTATTTAATTGGTCAAGACCACCTTCTGTGCTGAGTCCTGCGATTATACGCTAAAGCGCAGATTCAGTATACAGCCTGGCAACTGACCCTCTAGCTGCCCACCAGGGAAGACAGAGCAGTGGGCGAGAGCCCAGAGGATGTGAAGCCCAGAGGTGATGCCTAAGATGCTTCTGAAATGGAGACATTGACAACAGGTAGATAGCTGGCAGTGGGAGACAGATCATGAGGCTGGAGAAGCAGGCTTCCTGGTGTTGAAGAGCTGGGTTAAGCCCCAGAACTGAAGGGAGCCAAGAGAAGGCATCCATATGACAGTCACATTTACACTCTCTGAAAGGTCATTCTGTGCAGTACTCGAGAACTAGAGGCGGGAGGATTCAGATTTCAAGATCTTTATTTTATATTTCACACAATGCTAGTAGAGTTAGGGGGAAATGCACGTGGAATCTATGCAGAAAAGGTCTTAACCCTATAGCCAAGGCTCGGTAAATAAGCACATATTTAGATGTTTCAAATTAAAACGGAATGTATGCATGTTGCTACTGTTTGATTCCTCTTAATCATTTAATGGTCCAGGTCATGTTGGACATGAAGATGACCTGAGTTCCATCCCCTGAATCTACAAGGCGGAAAGAGAACAATGATGCTGGCGAGTTGTCCTCTGACTGCTACATCTGTGCCAGACAGATGCACGCAGAAAAATACAGGCAAGGGGAACAACAATGGCTTTTACTGTTTATAAGAAATGATGTGGTAGATTTTAAGTAAACAAAATAACCACATTCTTACATCTCGGGAACTGCTGTTCTTACGCTGTCTTTGCACCCATCACAGTGGACTGCATTAAGCATTTGTTGACATGTCAGAATACCTTATTGAAATAAAAATCATTTGGAAAAAAATGAACCACTTTGGATTCCTAGCTGTATACTGACAGACAGCACTCAGCAATGGCCACTAAATACATGCTCCATAAACTAGGCGATGGTGTCACGCGCCTTTAATCCCAGAACTCTGTGAGTTCAAGGCCAGCTTGTACTACAGAGTGAGTTCCAGAACAGCCAGAGCTACACAGAGAAACCTTGCCTTGAAAAACCAAAAAAACGACATGCTTTTTTGAATCTCTGGGGTTTGAGCACTGTTATGTGGATGCCGAGTAGAAACGGATAACAATAAACGGATAACAATTAACATTGTATCTGCAGAAGGGAGGCTCTTACCAGCTGATAGCTCCGTGGTCACATTTCTCCATGAGCATTGCTTTCCAACATTCATGTGCGTTGTTAACAACTTCAATAGCGAAAGCCTAATTCCAAACAAAAACAGACAGAGATAGTTGCAACATAGCTCCCACCCAAAGCAGTGTTCCACCCACACAGAACCAGTGACTGTTAAGAGCTTGAGCTCTAGAATGGGGCAAACCTGAGCAGAAAAGCTTCCTTAGTTACTGTGATGTAGGCGCTTAACTCCCCCGAGCCTCAACTTCCTCCTATGAGGAAGAGCATATAATGGGGTTTGGGGGGGAAGCAATCTATATAAGGGACAGGCAAACGAAAGTCTGTGGGTCAAATACAGGCTGCCACCTGTCTTTGGCCCGTGGATGCTTTAATGGAATGGCAGCGTTGAGAAGGTATTTGGGAACCACACGCTGTGTCATAAGGCCCTAAACATTTACTATTTGCCCTGTACAGACACAGTCTGCCCATTTCAGATCTAAACTACAGAGCTAATGGATGAACAAAGAAAATCCTGCACAGGAAAGTGCGTAGCCTGGTCCACAACTCGAGGAAGCAAGCATATATTCATTTCATCTTTGCCACGAGGGCACACAGTCTAACTGTAAGTTTGGACACGCGCTGTCTGGAAGCAATACATCTTAGGACGGCCCAACTTTTCCTTGGTAGTAATTCATAAAACACCTAAAACTACATAATCAGGAATAAACATGCGGCTAGGTATGCATCTAGAGACACTACCTAACAAAAATCATTTTTAGTCTTCAAAGGAGAAAATGATTTTCACTTCTTTTTTCAGATTAGTTTATGTGTATGTGTGTGCGTGTGTAAATGTATGTGCATCATGTTTTATGTGTATGTGTGTGTATGTAAATGTATGTGCATCATATGTTTTATGTGTATGTGTGTGCGTGTGTAAATGTATGTGCATCACATGTGTGCATGAGCGCTGGAGGTCAGAGAGGTAATGAGATGCCCTGGAAGGGAGCTACAGGTAGATGTGAACCACCGTGTGGATGCTGGAAGCAAAACCAGACTCCCCTGCAAAAGCAGTAACTAAGTTTTTTTTTCCCCTCTCTTTAAGGAGATCCTTATTTACTAGCTAATTCTTACTAGCTTATTCTCCTCAATTACAATTAGTTATTATCATACTGAAGAAATAAAGACTCTTGGGCTCTGAGGTAGAAGTGTAATGGAAAATTTAACTTGTGAAATAATAGTTCTCTCAGGACTACAGAGGGCTGAGCAAAGAGAATGGCTCCGTTCTCAATGAGGTGGTATTGGGGACACTACTGTGACAGAGGATAAAAATGGAAATTATTCTGTGAATAATACATGGGAGGATTTTTAGATAAAATTACTCAGGTAATTCTCTTTGTAATAAATTCGAGTGCCTGCTTAATGAAATGGGCAGGGAAACTCTAAAACAAAAAACAAGAGCCACTCTCAGCCACAGAAAGAGGCACAGCTAAGTGTTCTCGAGCTAGGCTCTGCATTTTAAAGGCAATGGCAAAAACCAATGCATAAAATGATTATTTTTGGAAATGTTACAAGAATGACCCAGTAATCACATAGAAGAAAATGTCAAAAGTCACCAGAACACAGTAGACCTCTGACACTGTGAATTCAAAACTTGCCAGGCTGCCTTTGAGGCAATAAAGAAATGTGTGTGTGTGTGTGTGTGTGTGTGTGTGTGCGTGTGTGTGTGAGAGAGAGAGATTTTTAGAATTTCAAATGATGAAATATAAAATATATTTTGAAAGAAAAGATAATAATTTATTTCAAAAACATCCAACATTCCATTTCTAAGACAAACTTAAAATACTTTAAATCTTTTAACATAGGCCTTGTGACATCAAGAATTCCTTTAACGAGCCTTTCAAGAAAACCGCGAGTCTAGCAATCAATTCTTGCAGAGAAATACTTGCTGTCAGTTTTGAGCTTTGTTTCAGTTGTAGAACATACTTTCTGTTTCCTGGCTAAGAGTGTGAAATTTATTTAGTGGTAACAGCTTTTAAAAAATATTCCACAGTTTAGAGTTCAGCTCCTTGGCTGAATGTCTGCATTTGTGTCATATTAGATTAGAGCCACTTTATGGACGCTTTGTGGCACTCTAATGGAAAAATCCTCTATCAGTAGGATAATTCAAGAGTTCTCTTAATTATTAAGCAACTTCATTTGGTCTGGAAAAATTCAGTCAGGAGGGAATCCTGGGAGGATTTACATGGAGGGGAAGCAGCCTCCCCGAACCAAGAAATGGAACAATTTTCTTCATACACAATTTGCAAAGTTTAAACTAATTGCAGAATCCCCTTACTCTCTGGGATGAGCTATATGTAGGTTGACCTTGTTGATTCACTTAAATAATTTGGAAAACTGTTAACACTAATGTCCTTAAATATGGAAGCCAGTACAGAGCGCCTTGTCTTCCTTCTCTATATGAATGTTCACATCAGACTGTCTACATGAAACATACCACCAGACACTGAGAGGTACACTTTCAAATACAGATCCTCATCTTTACCTTGTTTTTGAATTCTCCATTAAAACCAAACTTGTTTTCTGGTTTTCCGTCTGGTACCTTATAAAGTCTAAACCAATTAAGAGTGGCTTCCAAGTAGCCTGGTTTGAACTTCTTAACATCATCAATATCTGTGAAGGAAGAAACAGAAACGTTTTGTTAAAAACCATACTAAGCAATACCATCAGTCGTGGTCTGAGGACGGCAGGCAGTGTGGGACCAGCTCCAGCTCAGATCATGGCCAACTGTGCTAGCCAAGCTTGACACGTCTCACGTCACACACGGACTTCTGTTTCCCTATGTAAAACACCGCTCCTTCATCCCACAAGCATCTACTGAGTCCCCTCGGGACTCAGGTTTCTTTCTGCCTGGAAGTTCACAGGGCTCCGCAGCACAGGAAACAAGACAGATAGTAAATGATGATAAAGTAAATTGAGGTTATCACACACAGAAGAGGATGGTGATATCAGATAAGGGAGTGCAAGAAAACACCACAAAGAGGGAGTCCCACCAGCAGCCAGAAAGGAGAAGTAGAGAGAAGGGCACAGAGGAAACAAGGTCTAAAACAGGCTAGGACCGGTGTGTTTGGAGAGAGTGGACTCTGAGAAGGAAGGGCCACCGAGCAGCGCACACCATGACAGGGACTGGCATCTTCTGACAGGTAATGGAAGGGTTTAAACTAGTAAAATCACAGTATCAGGATTCATGATTTTAGAAGCACTGGTCTAACAAGGATGAACACAGATGGCAGTGGTACCCGAAAACAGTGCCCTGACACTGGCCGAGAGGCTGTGTGATTTGATTTGATCTTTTATTCAGTGGTGAGATAACCAAAATGAGCAGACGAAAACAGATGCCTGCAACTGTCATGGCTGACACTGTAGGAAGAAGCAGACAGCAAAGAAACAAACGTGTTCACCGTCAAAAGTCCCATAAAGAAAAGTGAAGCTGAATAAGGAAAACAAAAATGGGTTGGGGGATTTAAACAGGGCGGTACCTAAATAGCACACACACGAAAAAAAATCTTATCCTAATTCAGTCACGGTTCTCAGGATGTGCTTTTGATGACACTTGCTAGAATATACTTGGAAATAAAGCTACTGTACTGAGATTGATAAATCCCTTGTTCAATGAGGTTCCCAGGAAAGCAGCCTTTCTAATATACAATTTAAAAGTATAATAAATCCTTGTCAAAATACTGTAACTAACGGAGACATTTAGAATCATCCTGCTATGTACAATATCTCACAGCAAAGAACACACAAACTTGGTCAAACTTGAAAGATTAGAAAGTTCTAACTAAAACCCAGGTGAAGATGTAAACACGGGATAGTCCAGAAAGTACCTGGTTCCACATCTTGTGGAAACCCCCATCCTCTCACTGACAGGGAGAGGCCAGGGTCATACAGACAAGCATCATTCCCTTGCTTTTCCCACTTGCCCCTCCAGGGCTGGAGGCTTCATATAAGTGAGATGAATTTAGTGGGGTAGAACCCAGGGAAAGGGCAAGGTTCAGTTTGCTGTCAAACAGTCTTCTGATTTAAAGTCTGAAATGCTATCGAAGGCCACAACCTATCCAAAATATTTTGGGAAAAAAAAGCATCAATGTTACAATTAATCAAAGGCAAAAAGAGAGGCTTGCTTGAAAGGGAAAGCAGGTTACAGCTGCTTCATTAACAAGAGTCAAAATATACTTACTGAGCAGTTGTAACTGACTGCAGATCTCAAGACAGGGAATTCGACAGAGTGCACCCTTTAAGAAATGCACACTGTGTTTGGGTTATAGAGTCCTTTGTAGTGCCCCAGACTCCAGAATCCAATAAACCCTCCACCTAACACAGCACTGTTTCCTCCTCAAACTCTACTTCTTTTCATATTTTTCTGCTTATCTGGGAGGTTATTTCTAAGGAGAATTTTCCATTGATCGTTTTCTTATATCCTCCTATTCTTAGAAAGCATTCCTTTAAACTGATTTAACTCCAGGTTTTTCCAACTTAATGTTACCGTATTCACTTGGGAAAATATTTTAGTATACTAAACTCCAATAACTAGAAATGTACTTTAATTTCCAAAATAGTTTCTTATACTTCAATCTGATTGATGACTCTATCCCTGTACCTTACACAATCTATTGGTCTTTACCTCACTGTGTAAAATATTTGTGATGTGGGATTGCCCTCTGTATGCTGGGATTACCATTAAAGAACTGCTTTGAGCCTATAGCAAAGCAGGGCAGGGTGAAGCAGAGTTGGGGGGGGGGCGCTGGACTGAATGCTGGGAGAAAGAAGAGCTGAGTCAGGAGAAGTCATGTAGCCCCACAGGAGACAGATGCTGGAACTTTACCTGGTAAGCCACAGCCACAGGTGATATACAGATTAGTGAAGATGGGTTAAATTAATATGTAAGAGTTAGCCAATAAGAAGCTAGAGCTAATAGGCCAAGCAATAATTTAATTAATGTAGTTTCTGTGTGGTTATTTCAGGGCTGAACAGCCGGGAACAAACAAGCAGCCTCCTTACTACACATTTGGTTGGTTATCTTTATTTGACTCACCAACTTCAAAGAAAGACACTAATTATCCAATACCCTTTTCAGCCTAGGAAGCTCTTTGCTCAGAATTCATGGAGGGGACCTTTAAGATACCAGCGATTAAAAATGTCAAACATTTAATAATGCCAAAAAGAAGCAGAAACCTCTAGTAGAAGCTAACCTTGCCAATTCTCAATTAATTACATCCCAGGAGAAAACAGCTGCATTTTTATAAACAACGAAAAACTCAGACAAAATGAGAGGCATGCAATTCTAACATTTCAAAAACCTCAATAGTAAATGTCCAACCGGAAATCTAAGTTAATGAACTACTTTTCTGAAAGTATAAAACACTGCACCTACAATTGATAAACTGATCCACGGTTTACAGAATACACATGAGTTAAACGTAAGGAAACTATAGCAAAGAGAGCATACCACGTTGGCTAAAATGATGGCAGAGCTGCACTATAAAAACCATGAGATGTTTAATCCTTAACCTGTTTTTCTTCTCGTTGCTTCGTTACATTGTCCAGCCAAAGGTGTTAAAAACAAACACAGGTGTGTTTATCCCTTTTCTTCCACTGCAGCAGAACTCGGCACAGCATAGTGCTGTCCCCTGTGGTCACCTAGGACGTAACTCAGTGATGCTGCGCTCGTCTATAAGGTCCCATCCGCAGCACTTCTCTGCCACAGGCACCTTTGTCATTTTTGCCATTTTTAAAGAAATGTCGCAATTTCCTAGCATCCATTTACTCTCACTCTGAGGGTTTTATGTGGAACTTTATAATGCACAATTAAGGCATTTAGTGCAGAGATGGACCACTCCATCAATAAGTGAGGAGAACCTGAAGTACCTATTTAGAAAATCAAGCTAAATATTATCTCAGTTTCTCTTCTGTACCAATTACGTCCTTATATTTGAACTTCAACTTATCGCTTTACTGAACTATTCACAAAGGGTCTGCAGTGTGTAAGGCATTCTGAGTGTAGTGTGTGCTGAGTGCAGTGGACCCTCTAGAAGGAGGCACGCACGTCTCCCACCATCGGTGGGCTGTATCTTTGCCAAGTGTCAGGTGTCCTCACTCCCAAGGCATAACTGCAATGGCATCAGTTAGGGATGTAACTAAATATCACGTAAGCAGGTGAATTTATTAATACAAAAGTGTTGGCTGCTGTGAAATTAATTTTGAATGTTCGGAAAGAATCCAATAAAACTGGTTACTAAAAACATCTGTCATCAATTTAGGGCTGGGTAATAAAACAGCTGAGTTAGAGGAAAAATTAAGCATCTCCAGCGCAGGCAGATTTCTGTGCCAGTGAAGTGGGAAAGCATCTTACATAACAGAAGTCGAGCTCACATAGAATGCACTTCAGTGAACTCCTTTTTAAAAAACATTTTTCATTTTCATTTTAATTTTAGGTGTGTAAGTGTTTACCCACACGTGCACTACATGCATGCCTAGTGCCTGTGGCGGCAAGAAAAGGGCATTTGGGTCCCCTGGTTGTGATCTGCCATGCGGGTGCTGGGACTTGAACCATGGTCCCCTTGCAGAGCATCCAGTGCTCTTACCCACTGAGTCACATCTTCAGCCCCTTCAGGAGTCTCGTACAAACTGTAGGAACAACTCTCCAGATTTCTTCCATTAGTATTTTCAGGGGAAGACAGAAAGGAAAAATGCCTTGAGGTCTAAGTGTGCCTTCATATTTGAGGTTGGGAAGAACGAAGTCCGTGGCTGGAACTCAGTGAACCATGGAGCTCGTGAGAAGGGAGGGGCAGCCACATACCTGTCTCATGGAAATGGTGCAGGGCAGGGCATACATGTTGGAGGGAAACCTCTCCACATGCCCAGTGGGGAAACAACCACCCTATACAAAGGAGAAAATGAAGCTAGAGCCCCAGGAAGATACTTGAAAGGCGGGGTATGGTGGACACACATTTAATCCCAGCAGTAGTGAGACAGGCAGAGGCAGGTGGATCTCTGTGAGTTGGAGGACAGCCTGATCTACATGTTGAGTTCTTAGACAGTTCGGAATAGTGAGAGAGAGAGAGAGAGAGAGAGAGAGAGAGAGAGAGAGAGAGAGAGAGAGAGAGACTTATAAGAATATCTATACCCATTTAAGACAGAACGTGAAGATATCAGAAGATGGAAAGATCTCCCATGCTCATAGACAGTTAAGGAGAGAGCAAACAAGTAGGTAAGAGGAGAGGATCTCTCTGGGAGGGGGAAATAGAATAGTCAAAATATCAAAACTCCATAACATTAAGTAATAATCTAAAATACAGAAAAGCAAGAGTTACTAAAGAGGTTTTTGCTTGTTTGTCTTCTGTTTTATTTTTTGAGGTAGCCCCAGCTAACCTGAAATTCACTACATAGACCAGGCTGGCCTTGAACTTAATGTCTGCCTCTGCCTCCTGAGTATCGGGGTTAAAGGCCTGTGCCAGCATGCCTGGTTCACCCCAGGTTTTTAAACACAGTTTTCATAGGATGTCATAATTTTTACAGTCTAAAACTATAATTATTTTATAACAGAGATATGTCCAAATTTAAAACTTTAATAAGTAACATCCTTGTAGGATTTTTACACTAAAATTATAAAT